CAACACATTAACTTATTGGGCCAAAAACATCCTCAGAGCATTCAAACTCTTCTACAAAAACAACCCCAGTCAGCAGTAACAAATCATGAACAGAGAAACTGCTGATGTAAGAAAATGAAACTTTAATTGGATGCAGGTAGCATTGGTAGCATCCCTCTCATTATTAAAGCAGGATATGAGTTTGAATCAGGCGGCAGACTCCTTTGCAATCTTCTCAGCTTTAGCAATGACTTCCTCGATGCCTCCAACCATGTAAAATGACTGCTCAGGGAGGTCATCATATTTTCCATCCAAAACTCCCTGGGAATCATGATACAAAATGCACATTAATGACAAACAACTCAAACAATCTATGGTGCATACACAAATTCTACAGTTTTGTGTGTTTTCCATAACATCAAGGAAGTCCAAGAGATCAAATTTGACCATCACAACCAGAAGTAAAAAATTAGAGGTTGTAAATAGAAGAGCACCATATTTAAAAAGAAACAGATCTATGACTGTAGAACTGCCAGATTATGCGCCACATTTTATGATCTAAATCATTTTTCGCTTATAACTTGTAGATCAGTTGTGTATTCTAAATTAACCATTCCAACCAGAAAAAAAGGAGAGAGCGACGAAAAAGAGCACGACTTTAGATAGAGATATGCAACAGTAAAACTGGCAACCATGTGCTGCATTTTATAATCAGAAGCACAGCACCTTATGCATATAAATTGAGGGTGACTTGTATGAACTAAGTTCAATATGATTGAAGCATCAGCTCCCTATAGGTCCATTACATATTTAAGAAGGCATCATGATTCTTCCGCAAGTAATGAAACATACAATTTATTTTCAGTTCTAATACTATTTTAGATAACCTGTTACACAAACTTGACGACTAACTTTCTGAAACAAAGAAGAGGTTTAATTGCATATTAAACTAGTTCTGATAACATCTGTTTTCTACTACTACTCTCTCTATTTCCTTCATTAGACAGTTGAGATTTGGATGTCTTAACTTGGGTTCTAAGAAAGATCTCTGTAGTGTCCAATTCCCCTGATACAAGAGTCATGTGATCTCAGTCCATGTCCCATAAGTCATCACTTGACCCCCCTACAGCCTCTCCACCCTCATGTGCAACAGCTCAGTGAACAAGTATCCACCAGCTGAGCTCTCCTCTGCCCCCAACCCCCCACCACCCACCCACCCCTCCTTCTCATCCAACAACAAAAGGGTGACAAAAGGCAATAACATCCTCTTGCCGCTACTCCTCTATATGTCTTATTGTTCAACATTCTTCTTCCTCTACAAGTCAGTCAACCAAGAAAACCATCAAATTCATATCCCATATGCTGGAACCCATGTCATGTCATGTGATGATTAGTTCGGTGGGTCAAATTGTTGAGTCGACACACCATAGGCAACAAAAGAGCACTATCTAGATTAGATATTATTACAAAAATTATGATAATTTTCAAATCGGTCTAAATCCACAAATTGTGAACTAGCAAAAGCCCACATAAATCTAAAATTGTTCTACAAGTTATCTATAATTTTACTCTTTCACCATTCATCTTCTTTTACTCCACAGTTTTGTACTCACCTAATGAGAAATTGCACAATAAAATGGGTAGATCAATTCAGTGTGTGCATTTTATAACTTTAAAGACCATATATATAATATAACATCATTCAACATAATTTTAATAAAATAAGATAATATCTTAAATCCGTAAAATTGTGGGCGAAGAATATTCCTGACCTGAAAGCTGTTAACACTCTCCTTTAATTCAACATATTTTCCAGGTGCACCAGTGAAAACTTCGGCAACATGGAAAGGCTGGCTCAAAAATCGTTGGATCTTTCGAGCACGAGCTACAGTCAACTTATCATCTTCACTGAGCTCATCCATTCCTAGAATTGCAATAATATCTTGAAGATTCTTATAATTTTGAAGAACTTTCTGAACACCACGAGCAGTGTTGTAGTGTTCCTCCCCTAGCACATGTGGAGAAAGCATTCTTGACGTGGAATCAAGAGGGTCAACAGCAGGATATATACCGAGCTCGGAAATCTAGTGAAAAACAAACAAAGGTTGAGAGAATCACATTTAGTTTTATCAATGTCATAAATAACTCCAACAAATAAATAATAGGAGACAACTTTGTACACAAACCTGTCGTGACAACACAGTTGTAGCATCAAGATGAGCAAAAGTAGTTGCAGGTGCAGGATCTGTCAAGTCATCAGCAGGCACATAGATAGCTTGCACAGAGGTGATGGAACCCTTCTTTGTTGTTGTAATACGCTCTTGCAGTCCTCCAAGATCAGTAGCAAGAGTTGGTTGATAACCAACAGCAGATGGAATACGACCAAGTAAGGCAGACACTTCCGAGTTTGCCTGAGTAATTTACCATATATGAGAAAACTATTCAGCTAACAAACAGTTATATTGCAAGGAAATACAATGCTGAATTGATTTTCCCACAAGCTTACTTGGGTGAACCGAAAAATGTTATCAATAAAGAGAAGCACATCTTGTCCTTCAGCATCTCGAAAGTGTTCAGCAACTGTTAGGCCAGTCAACCCAACACGTGCACGGGCACCAGGGGGCTCATTCATTTGACCATAAACAAGAGCACATTTGCTCTCACCCTGAAGTGCAAGCCATTGATAAAAAACTACATGCTTGAGTAACTTGAGTAAGGGCAGAAAAAGATTGTGAAATAAAATTTACATAAAAAGACATAAAAGAAACCCTCAAGCATGTACCTGTTTGTCTCCAAGCTTGATGACACCACTCTCAATCATTTCCCTGTACAAGTCATTACCCTCACGAGTACGTTCACCCACACCAGCAAACACAGAAAAACCACCTGCAGACCAAAAATTAACAAAATCCAATAAACAATACATGTACAAACTTAAACGAGTAAGATCTTAATAGGTCTAACCATGAGCCTTTGCAACATTATTGATCAGTTCCATGATGAGTACAGTCTTTCCCACACCAGCACCACCAAACAGCCCAATCTTCCCACCCCTCTGATAAGGTGCCAGAAGATCTACAACCTGTTCATTTCAGAAGAATATACAATGAATTTTAGCATCTCCTGAATCGAATAAAAAATGCACTGAACACTACAACTAAATGGAGAAGAAAAGCATATAAGTGCCTTAATTCCAGTAACAAGAATCTGCTGTTCTGTTGCCTGTTCAACAAATGCTGGTGCTTCACGGTGGATGGGAAGAAAGTGATTGGTTTCTGTTTATAAAAGAGAGGATTAAGCATCATATAAAATAGTGATACAATCCAAAAACATTATAGATTCACAAATCAAACTATAACAGTCTTACTTATGTCACCCTTCTCATCAATCGGTTCCCCGATGACGTTCATGATGCGCCCAAGAGTCGCCCTACCGACTGGAACCTAAAAAATTTAATGAAACACAAAAAATTGCAAGAAGTCAATAATCATATATGTATTCTGTCAAACGACAATCAAAATCTTTTTGGTACACATTTTACAAGCGAATTTTTTTATTCCAAAATCTCTTGAGAACAATTAATAGAGAGGTTCAAGAAAGTATAGCAAAAAAAAGTCAACCATGATTACAATTTACAGCTCTGACTGTAACATCCCCTTCCAAATTATCTCCGTATAAGTCTCCAACTTCAACTAAGAACTATTAGCGACGAAAGAATAACATATGTTAAACATTACCATCAAATTTCTCGATCATGAGAAGACGTCGTGGACACATCAAAAGAGACTTTTTTTTTTCTTTACTATTGAATAGGAGAATTCCAATCAAAAAGATAATAATCGCGGAGAAGGCAAACCGTGATCGGAGATCCGGTGTTGAGAACCCTCTGGCCACGGACGAGCCCCTCAGTGCCGTCCATGGCGATGGTCCGCACCATGTTCTCCCCCAGATGCTGCGCCACCTCGAGGACCAGACGGATCTGGTTGTCGAGCACCTCCAGAGCCGTCAGGATCGGAGGCAGGCCCTCGTTGAACCTGACGTCGACGACGGCGCCGATCACCTGGCAGACCTTCCCGATCGCGCCGGCGCCGGTGAACTCGTCCGTGATCTTGCCGCTGGGCCCGGCGGGGGCCTTGCTCGGGGGTGGAGTGGACTGTGGGGCGGCCGCGGAGGTAGCGTACTCAACGGCGCGGGAGAGGACGAAACCAGCAGGGGAAGGGCGCATGGGGGCCCGTGGGGCGGAGGAGGCGGCGGCGGGGGATCTGGCGGCGGGGGAGCGGCGAGCCGAAGAGCGGAGGAGGGAAGAGAGGAGACGTCGGGAGGCCATGCTGGCCAATGGAAGAGGAGACGACGGAGAGAATCTGAGGCGGCTCTTGCTATTTCTCTTTCCCCGATCTAGGGCTCAAGACGAGTTCACGCGTGAGAGTGACGTTGAACCCTTAAGAGGTTGACCAAAGTGTAACTAATGCGGATCGGAGTCCGATAAAATTGGGCCGCTCAGTTCGGGTTTGGGCTCTTGATTTTGTGAAGACCTATCTTGGATTTGTCACATGACTGGATTGAGAAGATTCCCTCCAATTGGGTTTCCCATCCTCAAATCTCACCCGTCCGTTCCTTGTTTCCGTACATCTTAACCACCCATCCATAGGCGTCCAAATCTCCTTAGTTGCCCCCAGATGGATGCTTAAGATGAAAGAATCAAATGGATGTAGTCGAAAAGAGAAATCAAGACAAAAAGAATCAATCCATCATAATCGGATCTCCAGAGCTCATAATGCTACCCTCAGTATCAAAAACTGCGAAGGAAGAGAAATCAGACCATCAATGCAGCAATTTCTTCGTGAAAGTAAACAAAGTGCATACATCTGCGTGTAAGTTATCTATAGCCAAGTCATAACATTTCTTATCATGGATTCAAAATTCTTAATTTCTCTGATGTCCGACAAGAATCCATCAAATTACATAACAATGCAGCTAGCCGAGGCGTCGATGAGGATCAACTCATTATTAGCTAATTTGCGTGAGAAACAAATGATGAGAAATTTTCATTTACTTTTTATGGGTATCTCTGAAAGTATCAAATCCAACCAACTGAAAGCCTCGAACCCTAAATATTTGATAAGCAAAGTGGCAGGGGAAAATTCAAGGAAGTTTAACAAACATAAGCTACAAAAATTCCTTTGGGTTCCTGTGCATTCACTTCTTGGAAAATGGCAGGAGCCTTCTCCAGCAACAAGGAGTCTGCCACATTCCTCAATCCTCAGTTTTGCTTCGTTTCTTTGGCTTATCCATTCGCTTTTCTGTTTCCCCCTTGTTCCGCAACCTCTGCAAAACATGCATGAAAACAAAGCACTCAACAAAATTGCCCTGATTCATTGAACACAGTCCCTCTCGATCATTTAGTCTGTATGGCACCGATCAAAGACTCCTGCAATAAATAAAAATAGAACATTACCATTTTCCTTCTACGGCTCTGTCGCTGGCGCCCTGAATCCCTCTTTTTGGCACCATTCAGCTCCTGGATATTTTAAGACAGATGAGAGACTTGTATCAACTGACAAAATAGACCTTATAGAAAAAGTCCTATTCTACCAAAGGTTGAAAGAGCAAAAAACAGGTCTTCTGGAGATTCAACTACCTCTGCAAGAGCTATGGTTCGTGCATGCCTTTCTGAGTGTGTTTCTTGGTCTTCTTCGATCTCACCATCACTATTAAGCATCAGCCTGAGCCTCCCCTCTCCTAACAGTTTCCTTGAACGAGCATGCCTCTACAAACAAGGAGTAGATCGAATGCAAAATATACCGAAAAAGATATTAAACATGATCCAAACAAGTTTGTTTCTAAAAGCGTGACAGGTTTGTTTTATTAAATGAATTTGAAAATACAGTTTAACATTGCAATAGAAGCATCCGATACTAACATAAACTATAAAACTTTGCTACCATATGACTTGCCTCAACATTTAAGGTCCCTAAGCATAAAATGAAAGGAGTTCAACTGAACAATTGTACAACACCTAACAAATATTCTACTTTGCTCACCTTTGACTTAAGGTGTGTCTTCACTGTATCTTCACTTAAGCAGACAATTCTTGGGCAAAGTCGGCACTTAAAAACTGACTTGTGTTTCAAGATATAATTTGCAAAATCAGCTTGAATAGGATCATTCATATCAATAGAACTGCTCCCAGTTTTGACCTTCATGCTATCTTTAGCTTTAACTCCAGCATTTAGCTGACTATCCTTAGGGTTTCCACCAACATTTTCAGAGACATCGTTTTCCTCATTGGTGAGCAAGCCTAACCACAGATAAAAGCAGTTACACATCTTCAAAACTAGGATAAAAAATTAGAGTGCACAGAATCTTCGCAGAAGAGGCAGTCAGCAACTAATATTTAGTATGTTCAGGGATATATATATATATATATATATATATATATATATATATATATATATATATATATACATTAACAACATAAGTTGACAATTCATTTCTGCTCAAAATTATTTAAAGTGAAGAAGAGGTGTATGGCGCGTTTAACTCGATTTGTAATACACCTGCTACACATGAAATTTCTCGACTGGAACTTAGTTATAGAAATGTATATTAAGAATGCTTGGGAGAGTTCAACACTTGTCACCAAGTATATTAGACATTCAAAAATAGGTTCTATGCATGCTCAGATCTTATCACCAAGTAAGAATTACCATTATTTAAAAAAATCCCACCAACAACACTGAAGATTTCGTCAAAACAAAAACAAATCAAGAAAATTTCAGCAGACAAAAGAATAGCTTGTTCAAAAGTATGTCAATTTTTAGAACTTCGAACAGCTTTGAATTGCTTATCTATTCGAGAATAGGCTGTATGCATAACTGAGACTTGTCTTTACAATTATGACAACAAACAATATCACCTAACCATGAAGTATAGTCCAACTATATGCCCTACTAAAATAAAGAATGAAGACAAAGTGGACATGCACTTTAGTGTTACTTTCTGCAGTATTGGCGCTAAAAGGTAACTGATAAACCGTTCAGATACGAATGATACTACCCGCCATATAACTTGTACCGTGAAAGGTGACCCTTTGGGTAAACCATAAACTAGACAAGGGAAATTTTCACCCCAAAACTTATCTTCTGGAGTGAAAAACAAGAAAGAATACTGATGTGACCTTCAAGGCCAAGTGCCAAGACAACTAGCACTAAGCATATAGACAGTTATCACACACTAAACAAATCAATTTGGGGCATCTGTGATAGCTAACCCTGTCCTTGGCCAGGATTTCTATGCCAAGCATTTGGCCTTAGCCTCATACAAAATGACACAGTCCTTAGGCTCAGCTTGGCCATTAATCAACCATTATTGGCGGTCCTTAGGCTCAGCTGGACCAACCAATCCAAAGCATCAATCGCTATTGGCCATAAATGAAGAGGCAACTGAGACCTCAAGGAGGCAGTATTGTAGCTCTCTCTCAGGATGCACCTAGCGTCCCATGTAATATCCTCATTCTTGCAGAGCCACAATCACCACAATCCACGTAAAAATATTACCTGCCATCTGTAGGAACATCATTTTTCCCTTTTAGGCAGACTAACTTTGTGAACACCCTTTACGTCAATTACAAATCCTCTAAGAACTTGCCCAAGCATAAAGCTTTTTTGACCAAACTATGCTCGGCCAAAGAAATTGAGATTTGAAATATTGAAGTGCACAACAACTCTCAATGGTCATCAATCAAGTCCCAGAAGAATATGAGAACCGAGATCCTTGTATAGCCAAGTATCTGGCCAGGATCAATAAAATTGTTTTGAGACTTCCACTGGTTGATATCTATTGACAACAGCAAGGTAACATTGCTGACTGAGCATCAAGCTAGGTGGACCCTAGTGGTTAAGCAGCATCCCTGGCAACCAAAACAAATTCATGAAGCTCATACATAGGACCTCACTATTTGCTTCGATGACTGGGACATTGTACAAGAGATCCAACAACCAGAAATAACCTAAGTGCCTTTACCCGAAGCTTCTATGAGGTGATCTAAGACATATATCGACCATCTCAAATGCAAGCCCTTGCATATAAAGTTCTAGGAAGGATTCAATTAGCTGAATACGCAGGGTGATGTTGAGTACATAATACAACTTTTCTACTATTTCCAACACCAGGCCAACTTCCACCACCTGCTGGCCACCGGACTGATGCCCATGAATAACCCTCACCCATGGCCCTTCACATGATGTGACATGAACATCTATGGCCCATTCTCACCAAAAACCAGGCAATGGAGATACCTTATCATCGCCATCTACCATTTCACCAAGTAAATCAGGAGAAAGGTGGTCTCAGAAACCAAAAGCAAAAAAGGAATGTTCAAGACCTATAACTGAAAAGAGAAGTAGTCATTGACAACCTCACAATTCTTCTGGTACAGTGCGACATGTTGGTGTGACACCTTGTGTTACTTGGTCACTGATAACTGAAGGAAAATAAATGACGTCCCTAAAGCCTAACTTTTGAAATATGCATTTAGAAAGGTAGAGATGGACACCAGTCATTGTAAGTGTTTGTTTACCCCTGAAACTCACCCTTTATATTGCTCGGGCAGGGAAGCTAATTTTCCCATTTACATAGATGTTGTTTTCCCCATTATCATGTACTCTCCTAATCAAGGTCATGATACTTGATTCCCAGGGATGTAATTTGCCAACAGCAAAGATGTAAATGGAAGTGATTTTTCAAAGACCAATCAAGTGTTATATTCAACAATCCCAACAAACAAACAAAAAAACGAATGAAAATTTAGAATAGTGCAGTATAGTATAGATCTACATTCACACACCACAGCCATAGAACACCACCAGAAAAGAACACTTGCAATCATAAGTAAGATAAAATGATACCTGAAGAATCTCCTTCTACCACATTCCCAGAGCTTTCTTCGCTTTCATATCCAGAACCTGTACAAACACCCAGGGCAGACAAAAGAACATACAAGAGTGAGCCATATTTGTAGTCATTATTCCAAATAAGTAAAAGCAGTAGCTGATCACAATAACAAAAGGTAGAATTGTTATACAAGCAGAAAGATTTTAGTAGAAAAACCAAAAGGAATACAGAAAACATTAATTAATGACAAAACCCTAAATCGGCCACCGCTCAAGATCTTCAAAGGACAGAGGTTCAATTGCAAAAAGCCAAAGAAATCACAAGGTAAATAACCAGAATAAACAGGTTAAAATGAGTTCCAAGAAATCTACAATGGAGCATCGTATACAAAATGTTGGATATCACATTAACATCGTCATCTCCGGACACGACAGAACAAAGGTTGCATGCACTAGAAGCACAATACACTCGCAAAAACAAAATGCAACGATCTCGAAGCTCGCAAAATACGGGCGAGCTCCAAACCCTACTTCAAGGGATAAAGGTTACAAGATGGGCAAGGGACAAGATTCGAACCAGAAGAAGGCGAGTGACGCGGATGCTCCTGCCGCTCCTCCCTTGCTTCTTCTTCTTCTTCTTCTTCATCGTCGTCGTGGTCCTTCGATCCCCCAGTGGCCTCCACATCTTCTTCCTGTGCTTCTAATTCTTCGTCGGAATCAGAAGAGGAGGATGAATCGGAGGAGGCGGCGCCCCCGTCGCCGCGCTCTTGCCTGTAGAAACGCCGCTTTATCATCGCTCGCGAAGGGGAGACAAAGAGGAGGAACAGAGCCCTGTGGTTAGGCGCCGGGTCTGTCGGCGGAGGAAATAGAGCTCGTCGGCTTTGCTTCTGTTTTGGGCCGAACCCCAAGGAAAGGGAAGCAGGCCGTTTCATCGCGTTCACCGTCCCAACCCAAGCTAGCCCATACACACCTTGCTAGGCTGCCACGTGTACTACGAATCTCGCTAGCACGTGGCTCTCGATCACCCACTGTTGACTAACGATAAAACGCATCGTGTCGGTATAAATAGGAATAAAATATCAGCTCGCCATGGAAGTGAATCTCTCGATCATGTGTGTGACTACCGAAAATATCTTAAGAGTTTTTATCGAACGATTTTATTTTTGTTTAGTCATCACCGATCTCGACTTGTGTGCAAGAATCCGAGGATGAAGAAACAAACCATTCGTCAAGAGAGAAGACTCTACTCGAAAGATGAAGCTCAAACTTAATCCAACCTAATGCTCGTCACCATCACCCGAGCATCTATGTTGACACCTCGACCACAACGTCAAGGTTCATGAACACTGTCGAAAGTCATAGACGAGAAATCTTTTCCTTCTTCATTTTCTTTATTGGATTTGGACGGCTACGGATGCGTCGGCACCGATGCTTGCATCCCAACCATCGATCCATGTAGAATGTGAGGGTGAATCAAGTCGAGTACAATGGAACGCTGTCGATGGCGACTCACAGAAGCCCAAAGGACACCCGTTTCTGTATACGCCACGTAGTCGCGTACGACGGTCAAAGCCGGCGGCGGTAAGTACCTGTTATAAGTCTTCCTCTGTTTGGCTTTATGAGATCAGATGGCTGGTGAGCTCTGTAAATTTCACGCATAATTTGATCATGCATGATGTGACTTTCAATTAAAATTAAAACCCTATCTTATCAGTGTGTTACCATAGAAATTAAACTTCCAATGGTTAAGTGTCGATGAATTTATAATTCTCAAAAACTATTTAATCGAAAAAGGTTAAAACATCGATCAAACGTTTGAGATTTTGTAAAGAAGTAAGAAAGGGACTGACATAGTTATGTACTATAAAGAGGACAAGATAAGCATGTCGCGATATCATAGAAACTCTTTGGCAGATTCACATAATTCCACTTTGCCAACCACTAAACGACTACATGTAGCTTTCATGCCAACTGAGTCAAATATTTTCCATATACATGGATAATTATACTATGTTGATGGTATATTATAAATATAAATATATATCAATAATAATAAAATCATATGTCCTAATTATTTTGAATCAGTTACATGCATTCTCCATCGATATTGAGATCTATAAAAATCATATATTAAATTAAATCATATATTAAATTAAGTTCAGTATACTTAAAATTTTATTTATAGTTTATACTCACATATTTTTATGTTCTACTATCACATGCAGATGTATTTTCATCATATCCTCGTATCATTTTAAATATTTTTTCTCATTTTATATGATACTTAATTTTTTTCTCATTTTATGTGATACTAAATTTTTCATGAATAATTTTTTTTATCATTTATAGTAACTCCATACATTTATCTTAACATTCTCACCTTAGTAACATAAAATTATATATATATATATATATATATATATATATATATATATATATATATATATATATATATATATATATATATATATATATA